TAGACCTGTTGCTTGCCTAGCCAAATGATTGAGATCATGTGCCCATTTGTGAGACTTCACTTGTGTGTGTGTGTGTGTGAACTAATGTGAGGGCTGGTTTAAAGACTTGTAAATTGAAGAGTATTGCATCTTGTTTAAAGGCATAAGAGTGTGTTGATAGGCCTAGAGAAGCTAGAGTATAATAAGAGAGTGTGTTCATGCTATTTGGAATGTCTCCTTAGGATGTTAAGTTGAGTTCTTAGATGTGTTTTCTCTTGGTTATGAGTTCCCACCTTCAAACCTCTCTTCCCATAAGTCCTTGAAAGTTCACTTGAGGACAAGTAAAGGACAAGTTTGGGGGAGTTGATATGTTGCATATTTACTTAGTCTTAACCTTGCATTTTTGTTCATGTTGAGCATATAGATTAGGTATAGGTACATTTAGGTTGCATTTTGCATTCATTTGTATTTATCAGGTGATGAGACTACCCTTGGAGCCTTGGAAGTGGTTTGGTGGAGTTTGGACTCCAAAAAGAGGAGTTTGGAGTGAGTATTGGTCGAGGAGAGGCTGGAGCGACGTCCGCAGCGAGACCCCTTGGTCGCTCCACATCAGAGCGACACCTGAAGGCCGCTCGCATTTGTCATGTTTATGAGGCTCGGGAGCGAGGTTCGGAAGCGAGACGCCAAGTCGCTCCAGCATTCAGAGCGACATGTGGGAGCGACACTTGATGGCCGTTCGCACCTTCTCGCTATATCAGCCTTGGGAGCGAGGTCCGGGAGCGACCTGGCCAAGCCGCTCCAGCGCCTGGAGCGACCTCTGGGAGAGACACGGCCAGGTCGCTGCGCGTGTTATGTATGACGAAAACTTGAGTTTCAGGAACCTTTTTGCAATTTCGTTTTCTTTATTCTGAGTTGGAAAAACCTAATTTTAAGTATTCTGTAAGCCACCATTGGAGACGAATCTTTGTTCTTGAAGAAAAACACTTAAAAACCTATTGGAAAGTTCATATTTTAAGATCATTGATTTCATTGTTCTTTGTTTTTACTTATCTATTTCATCATCTGTATGATTAAATTTGAATCTAAAATGAGTTTAAGAGTAGTCATGATGTGTAGTGAGTAAATCACCCTTGAGTTCTTGGGTTAGGGAGACTAAGGATGATTAGTCTAGAACTAGAGTGTTTAGTTTAAATTCCTCCTATCTCTTGCTTGTAGAGTGATCCTAATGCTTCTCTTGAGTTGGCCACTCAAGAGTTGACCTTTAGACATTTCCCACTCACAAAGTGTTCGATGAAATGTCTGAGTCAACTCTCCCAAGCTTTTAACATCCTTTACCAAGGATACTTGTTGTTAAAGGTGTTAAGATGGCTAATTGACTTGTTTCTAATGATTGCTTTCATAATATTCAACCAAAGAAGTTTGATGTTTGAATTGTGTTTGCAAATGAACATTCATCTAGACATAGAGTTTGTTTAGAATTGTGTCTAGGCCTAAGGTAGATGGTTTAATTGATCGCTTGCCACTCTTAGTTCGAAAACTGATCATCTAAAGTCTAATTCCCTATACCCATGGATTCTCCCGTCTCTTAATTGTTAAAGTTCATTCTGTCATTGCATTCTTTACTTCATTTCAATATTAGTTGTAATTCAAAACCAATCAACCATATGATCGCACTTAGATTAAGCTAGTACTTGTATTCTTGGTGCTTTTAAATCTCCCAGAACTGGTTCGACAATCTTTTATACTACATCATTTGTCTTAGGAGCCTAGAAAACTCCTAACATCACTAATTCCTAATAAAAGCAATTTTCTTCCGGTCGATATGCTTGTCCACACATATGATGGGCTGCTAGCACTGATTTGACGCAAAGGCGTACTCAATTTGTAATACCGAACTCTCATAGTTGATTTGCTAGTAACGCAAGGTTAAACTCGTGAATCATCCTAAAGCCAATTCTGCATTTTTCTCTGGGCAAGCAAATTTATCTCATGTTGACCAGTGAATCCCCTTTTCTGGCGGGTTTGAGCTTCACTAGAACTGTGCAATGGCACTAGCTAAATCCTCATTCTACTTCTATCCCGTTAAGATGACGGCTAGGTAAAAAGAAAAATCATATCTATACTATTAATTGCAAAGTGATTTTTCGCAACGAAGCTCTCACATTAAAAGTTGGAGTAGTTAATATCGTTTATACTCTTAACTAGGTGTTTTACCCGCACATGCGGGCATAATTCCCTTGTGAATATTTATTAGTTAGTGTTTCATTAGTTTATTACTTGTATTTTCAAAAAGTAAAAATCAAACATCAAATAGTTATAAACGACAAAACTCAAACATCAGAAATATTTAAAAGAATATATTTTTATAATTATTTTGCTTGATTTATATTTAGTTATGATATTTATACAAATATTTTAACTTAATTTATATTTAATTATTTATGTGAAAATATTTTTTTTACTTTTTGTCTAGGAATTGTAGAAAAAAGGAAAACTAACTTTTAAATTCTTTTTGGTAAGTTCTCTTTAAAAAGATATTTTTGTAAAAGGAACATTATTATTTAACACATGTCATAATCTTAAATATATAATTGACATGTGTCGCAATCTTGTTAATTATTTTTAAGTTCAACTTTCTAATTCATTGTATTTTACTATGATTCATATTTTTGAGAGTTGGATTCAACTTGAATTTTTGAGTCTTACTTTTTCTCCAAACTAAGCAGAAGGTTGCTAATAAGTTCTTATGCACCATGATTACTTGAACATAAATACCAAATAAAACTTACCTGAAAAACACATTTAATTCCTCAAAATAAGTTTCACACAATATATGCAAAAATACCATAATTGCGAAAAAAATCTCATTTATATATTTTTCAAGAATTTAAAACATCACTCAACCCGTGCAAAACACAGATCCTTACCTAGTATCTCATAATATTATACCTAATAATATGGACGTGTTACCTTAGCTGATTTCAGTACGGCGTGATTGTCTCGTAAAACCGTGGAATGTAGCCGTTGAGGGGAATACATGTAATGTTGTCTGTCTTTTTTCTTTTTGTAACCTTTTTGTGCAATGTTATTGTTGCATTCAAAATCAGTTGTTTTATCACCTGAATTTTCGATTATGATCACCAAGAAATGGGTATGATATCTATCTATCAATATTCTGGGATCTCTAATAGATATCAACTTTGCATGGATACCTGACAGTTTTAACACTAAGGCAAAGGTGTGTGCTTTTTTAGAATAGTATTGTTGATAGGTGGCTCGTTTAGTGGGCGTGACAAAAGCAATGACATAAGCAGTGGCCAATATTGACTCTCTACACTTTTGGATTTTTATGTATATAAACTATTATCTGAATCTACAATACATATCACGAAGAAAGCTAGTTGATGTCCTACTCCACGATCATAAGCAACAACAGGTTACTCTCTCTCGCCTCAAAGTTCACTGCTTGTGGATCTCTTCTTCAGGTAAACATTATCGCAATCCATTTCGGAGTCTTATATGTTTTCTGGGCTTGTGGTTGATCTGAGTACTGATTTTGAGACAAAAGTTTCCAACTTTTGATCCGTGTTTTGTGTCCATACTATTTGTTCATGACCCTCTGTTTCTCATACTATGATGCTCTGTTTTTGTTGATGAACCCTGTTTCTCTAACTAAAGATTGATCATTTGCTTTTAATTTTTTTTTTGTCATAAGAGTACACTAGCAATGGCTCGATCTGCGGTTGATGAGACATCAGACTCTGGAGCTTTTCAAAGAACTGCTTCAACATTTCGTAACTTCGTCTCAAGCGATTCCAACTCTCAGTTCCTAGCTGAATCTGGTAGATACCATCTTTACATTTCGTATGCTTGTCCATGGGCTTCTAGATGCCTCTCATACTTGAAGATCAAAGGACTTGACGATGCTATAAGCTTCTCGGTTCGTAGACTCAAAGCCCTTTAAAACTGCTTATGTTCATGACAATATTTTGATTGAAGAGTATCCTTGTTTGGTTTGCATCAGTCGGTTAAACCCATTTGGGGAAGAACCAAGGAAAGTGATGAGCATATGGGATGGGTCTTCCCAGATTCGGACAATGAGATTGAAGGAGCTGAGCCTGACCATCATAATGGTGCTAAGAGTGTAAGAGAACTCTATGAGATTGCTAGCCCAAATTACACTGGAAAGTATACTGTTCCTGTAAGTCTTTCTTCTTCATGTTTGGTTTTGTGGTTTTGTTAGTCTTCTTGAGTTGGAACTAGATGGGTTTTTTATGACAGGTTCTATGGGATAAGAAGCTCAAGACTGTTGTGAACAATGAGAGCGCAGAGATAATCAGGATGTTCAACACTGAGTTCAGTCATATTGCGAGAAACCCTGATCTTGACCTTTACCCATCTCATCTCCAAGCTAAAATCGATGAAGCTAATGAATGGATTTATAGTGGGATTAATAACGGTGTCTATCGATGCGGTTTTGCAAAGAAACAAGGACCTTATGAGGAGGTAAGTGCTAAAAACAATACCCCGTATATGCTACTAAAGCTGGTCCTGAGATTTCGAGGCTATAGAGAATTTAACAAAATTTATATAATTTTTGTAACTAAATTTAGGAACCTATATGTATGTGAACTTTTAAAAAAAATTGGGAGGGTGGGGGCATAGGCTAATGTTTCGCTAGCATGTGGTCAGGACCGGCTATGTCTATGAGAGTTTTAAAAGCTTTTTTTTTTGTTCTTCTTTCTAGGCAGTGCAGCAAGTGTATGAAGCATTAGATAGATGCGAGGAGATTCTTGGAAAACATCGTTACATCTGTGGTAACACTTTGACAGAAACAGATATCAGGTTGTTTGTCACGCTTATAAGATTTGACGAGGTAAGTAAAACCGACAAGAACAAAAAGAAACACAATTAAGAGAACGAGTTTGTGATGTTGAAACGTTGGTGCAGGTTTATGCGGTTCACTTCAAGTGCAACAAGAAACTCTTAAGAGAGTATCCGAATCTGTTCAACTACACGAAAGACATTTTCCAAGTACCCGGTATGAGCAGCACCGTGAACATGAATCATATCAAGCAGCATTACTATGGAAGCCACCCTTCGATTAACCCTTTTGGGATCATCCCTCATGGACCAAACATCGATTACTCCTCGCCTCATGATCGACGCAGATTCTCCAAATGATAAATAACAAAGCTTTTTTCACACTTGAGTTGAGTTGTGTCTTCAGAAAGTTACCAAATAAAGTGTGTATTTTAATATTTTAAAGTGATGTTTGAGTACTATGTTTTGAGAAAATTAAAAATTTCCTGTTTAATATATTACAGTTTGCAGTCTCATGATCATCCCTCATGGACCAAACATCGAATACTCCTCGCCTCATGATCGACGCAGATTCTCCAAATGATAAATAACAAGTCTTTTCTTCACACTTGATGTTGAGTTGTTTCTTCAGAAAGATTCCAAAGAAAGTGTGTATATTTTAATGTGTGAGTACTATGTTTCGAGAAAATAAAAATTCCTTTTTAATATATTACAATTTGGTGTCAATGGTTGACACAATGTAAACTTTTCCTCCTGCGACAACATTTCTTTCCTAAATTCAAGGCTTCATGTGAGATTTACAATCTTTCTAGGGACCTTTTTGAAAACTGTAAACTAGATTACATAAAATATCAACTTTGTCAAAGAACTTTAAGCTAGAGTTTGGGGGGGGGGGGGGCTTATTTACACCTTATCCATGCTCCACACAAATTTCCAGGCTGATTATTGTGGAGAGTCCATTGAGCTTCCTTTTAACTGGAAGATCATGGAGTGGGCTCACAAAACCAAGAGAGTGTTTCACTCTGCCAAGCTTCCTTCTAAAGTTACACTTTATATCATATATGGGACTAGTTTAGAAACTCCTCATAGTGTTTGGTAATGTTTCTTTATTTGAGGTCTCAGTTTTTGGGTGTTTATTTGTGCTACCTTTTCTAAATCCGATATATGTATTCCTTTGCAGTTACGGGAATGAGAAGATGCCGGTTAAAGATCTAAGGAACCTAAGATACTTCCAGGTAACCACATAGTTCATCCCTATTCAGGTATCAACTATCATTGTAATTTATACTTAAAAAAAAAAAAAAAACTATCATTGTAATAGGCAAGAAACTCATTATTGTGTTTCTCAGAAAATACAGTATTGAGTTTTATCATTTCTAAGCGGATGGGCCAGAAGCAGTAGCAAGAGTTGGAGTTCCTGGTGAGCACCGAGTGATTCTCAACGAACACCGTGACTTCGGGATGCTCAAACAATGGCTAAACTTAGGAGAATTATATTTTGTTTAAAAGAGGTGGCAAAACTCATAATATGAGACAGTATAGTAAGATTAATTGTTAAGAATGTTAATGTTCTTTTAGAAAAGAATGTTTATGTTTTAATAGTATTACTAGATCTTGATCCGCACTACCGTGCATGTGTTTTTGAATACTAAAATGTTATACAATAAATTTGTCAATAAATTAATATATTTTTTATATATTATCTAACTTATAATATTATTATTACAAAAAATTATTTTTTCTTTTACAAATTTATTTCTTTTAAATTATTATGCAACAAGACTAATTTACATAGTTTTGTATTTTATATGTAGAAATTTAGTTAATTTAGACCTACAAAATAGAGAAGAAATATTTTGGGTGATATTGCTAAATAAATTTTAATTTTTGCTTATAAATAAAAAGTAAATCAAATTTTAATTTTAATTAGATCTGATAGTAGTTCAAAATTAATTAAATAATTTTGGAAAATATATTTTAAAAAGATTCTATAACATTTTGTTAGAATTTTCTTTCGAATAAAAATTAAAAATATGAAAATATATTATAAATAAGTTATGTAAAATGTAATAAACTTTTTAAGAGATGATCCAAAATGAAATATCACACATGAAACAAATTATGATTTATGTTTTAATATATAACTAGAGCTTGACCCGCACGACCGTGCGGGTGTTTATTTCATTTTATGTATATATGTATATATATATATATATATATTTAATTATTTATATTATTTTTTAAACATCTAAGTTTTATAGTTTGTTTGTTTTATTTGATTAATTATTTCAAACTCACATGTATTTGTTAGTTCTTATAATATATATTTTTGTTGGATTTGTTTTAATTATTTGACAAAATTTCCAAAAATTTGAAAATTATTTATATTTCCTTCTCTATTATTAAATCTAAAAATAAATCTAATTTCAGTTTAAGTTATAAGTAGTTGTAAGAAAATAATTTTTTTAGTAATTTTTTTGAATTTTATGATAAATTTAAAATATTCATATATACCAATCTTTAAGCATTTAGTATTAGATATTTATACAAATTATAAAATAAATGATTGAATATTAAATATATTTGGTTTTTGTTTTTAATATGTTAAATGTGAAGTTATATTATTAGAACATAAGTTTTTATGTAATGTAATTCAAACATATATAAATTTAAATTGGACTTTACATAATATAGAAATCTTCTATTGAAACAACATGCATCTTATAAATAGGATAGTATAGTATGTCAATATCAAATGGATCATTAATAATTAGTAATTCTATCATCTTGTTATCAAAAGACATAAAACATATATTTTTGGAGAAAAAGAACATATGTACGTTTCTCAATATAACAAAGACTTTAATTCTTTTTTTATTGTTGAATACTTTTTTTAGCCTATATTATAAATGTATACTTTGATATTATCTTAAACATTTTAAATATATGTGTTGCATTTTAATGCTATATATAATTTAATTCTATAATTTTATTGTTTTATTTATTTGAAATTATTAACACATACAGATTGTTTATACATTTTAACTTGTCATAAATTGTTATTTCATAATAATATAATTTCAAAGTAGGTACAATAAATTAATAATTTGAAATAATCAAATAGGTAACCCCCTTCAAAATATTTTTATACGTTTTATACATTTTTCTACATTTTGCAAGCAAATTATTTTTAAATTTTATTTAGTTATACAATAGAATAGATATTTGTTTAGGATCATTTATATTTCACGCTTATGTTTAAAATATATAATTTAGCATCTATAATTTTAGTATATAGAATTTTTTCATAAATAATCACATTATATATTCAAATAATTTAGACTAATAATTACGAAATTAATTAATGCATTATTATATAAAAAAATTAAATTTTTTTATAAGATTTTGTTAGATTCTTTTTTCAACAGAATTTATATAGTTAGAAATAAAATTAAAACAATTTTATAGGAGAAGTTGTTATAGTGTTGATTAAATAAGATGTGATATCTTGATAATGTCAATATGCTAATAAGAAATAAATGAAATAAGATTTTCTAAGGAAGGTCCATTTTAAAAAATATCACACATGAATAGAAGTTGTGACTTCTCTTTTAATATAATAGACTAGGTTTTGACCCGCGCAACCGCGCGGATGTTTGTTTTCGTTTATAGTTAGTTATATAAACATTTTGTTTTCACTTGTAAATCGGTATATATTATAGTAATCACATATTAATGATATGTATAGTAAATGTTTTTCAAACATAATAATATTATATAATATGTGTTTTAATCAAATAGATTGTTTCAAATTTTTTATATTATACATGTTTTTTAAACATATGTTTGTTTCTTCTTCTATATTTTATTGTTTGTTAGATTGGTATTTCATTTTTAGATAAAGTAATATAAATAGAGCTTGATTAAATATTAGTATACTTTAATTTTCAAAGATAATATAAACTTTGATTTTTTTTTGTCAAAAACTAAACTTATAGCTTCATAAATTAATATTATAGAATTTTAGTAAAAAGGAATTTTTAAAAAATTTCTTTTTTTAAACAATATAATTTTAAAAATTTACATCGAAATAAACTTATCTAGTATATATAGCGTGTAAATTTTTTTAGGATATATAAATATTGTATATTACGAATCTGTGATTTTTTTAATATATTGTGGATGTATTTAACTATTATTGACATATTTCCTTATAAATAATAGAAGATTCCTAAACATATATCTATTCACATATTTTGCGTGACTAAGTTGGAAAGTGTGGATAATTTACCAAAACCAAATTGTTAAGTGTATCTTTGTTATTATAGATATGATTTTTCATAAGATATAATATTGATAAGATTATTAGAGAGTTAATGTAACATGACTTTTTAGTAGTAGTCCATTTTTTGAAAAATCACACATGAAGTCAAGTCATGACTTCTGTTTTAATATATAAGATTATATATGCAAATAATTTAGACTAATAATTACGAAATTAATTAATGCATTATTATATAAAAAATTAAATCTTTTTATAAGATTTTGTTAGATTCTTTTTTCAACAGAATTTATATAGTTAGAAATAAAATTAAAACAATTTTATAGGAGAAGTTGTTATAGTGTTGATTAAATAAGATGTGATATCTTAATTATATCAATATGCTAATAAGAAATAAATGAAATAAGATTTTCTAAGGAAGGTCCATTTCTAAAAATATCACACATGAATAGAAGTTGTGACTTCTCTTTTAATATAATAGATATGTGAAGATTTAAAAGATTTCATTTTTTCTAATGGACATTTTTCTTATATAGAGAACAAAAAATCACTTGCACTTATTGGTGTGAGAGGGGAGTCATACTCCATTTGATGGTCTTTGTATAAAATAAAAATAATTTTATATTTTAAAATTTAAACTAATACTTGACAAATTAATAAATTGATATTATAGTGCCATTAATGAAGATTATATATTTTGCTTAAAAGTGGTGGAAAAACTCATAGTATGAGAGTATAGTAAGATTAATTGTTAAGAATGTTAATGTTTTTTTTTGCAAAGAATGTTTATGTTTTAATAGATTTCATTGTTTCTAATGGACACTTTTATTATAAAGAAAACAAAAGGTCACTTGCACTTATTGGTGTGAGGGGAGTCATACTCCATTTGTTGGTCTTTGTATATAATAAAAATATTTTATTTTAAAAATAAACATATAATAATTGGCAAATTAAAAAATTGATATTTTGGTGCTGTTAATGAAAGAATATATATATTTTTTCAAAAAAGTGGTGCCAAAACTCATAATATGAGACGATATAGTAAGATTATATGACTAAAAACATTAAATTTATAATTAAAACTAATTTTTCATTAAAATCTTTATTGAATTAATTTTAAAGTTTTCAAATTATATGTTTTAAATAATATATGAACTGAAATTAAGTTTTATATTTTTTTATAATATGATTAGAGCACCCGCAATGGAAATTCTTAAGGGAGAATTCTTAGGAAAAAAATAATTAAATAATCAGTAGATCCCACCAAAAGCTAAGGATTCAATCCTTAAATCTCTAAATAAGGATTCATTTTTAGTGAATCCTTACACTATTTGCGGGTCCTCATGACATGTGGCGACCCACGATTAGTTTTTTTTTTAATCTGAAAAAAAGAAAAAAATAGTAATTAAAAAGTCCAAATTCAAGGACTCGGGTAACACCATAGCAGATGCTCTTAGAGATGATAAAATGATGTGATTTCAAATAAATAAAAGATAATATATATTTGTAGATGTAAAAGTTTTGCATATGGTAATAATTTGTATTATATAAAATATTACATAATTTACAAATTATAATTTGTTTAGAATTAAAATAGGTTAATTTACTAATTTAATTTAATGTGTCATATTTAATTTATATAGCACTTCTATTTTAATATAATATAGACTATAATTCTAAAAATTTATTTAAAACATCATATAATTTTAATTGACATTAGTTATTAATCTTATAGCATTAATTGTGAAACTAATTAATATATCATTTTATAAAAAATATTGTGAAACTAATTAATTTATTTTCATGTATGACCACAATTATTATTATTTTAATAGTTTTACTAAATGTAGCTAATATAATTATGTCGATGAATGTTATGCTCAACCTACAATTAAAGATTATTGAAAACAATTCCTCTTTCTTAGGTATAAAATTAACCAAATAATATCAATATTACTAACACGA